AATGCAAGCAAGGAGGAGGACGCTTTGTTTTTCAACAAAGCCAAATCCAATACGTAATATTAGAATATAATAAAATAATCTAATCAAAAATTGGGGGGATTCTAACTCCCCTCACGGAAATTTAAGATCCTTGATCATTGAAGATTCGTTGCCATAGACTAGTTAAATTTTGTGAGGTCTGTGATAGCACTTTACATAGAAGCGCCATCTATCGGATGGTAGCCCAACTGAACGACTTTTTTTGGTGGCGGCTACTCTCCAACAGATGGCGCTGCATATCGGTAGCTACCACAAGGTCCACCGTTTTGAATGACTACCTTGGGCTGGTGAAATCCGTTCAGTAATCCACAATGCAAGCAAGGAGGAGGACGCTTTGTTTTTCAACAAAGCCAAATCCAATACGTAATATTAGAATATAATAAACTAATCCAATCAAAATAATCTTTTCATCAAAAAATGGGGGGATTTTAACCCCCCTCACGGAAATTTAAGATTCTTGATCATTGAAGATTCGTTGCCATAGAACGCCACCCAAACCCCGACCAACCGCCCCTAAAGGATCTTTTTGACTAGTTAAATTTTGTGAGGTCTGTGATAGCACTTTACAAAGAAGCGCCATCTATCGGATGGTAGCCCAACTGAACGAATTTTTTTGGTGGCGGCTACTATCCAATAGATGGCGCTGCATATCGGTAGCTACCACAAGGTCCACCATTTTGAATGACTACCTTGAGCTGTTGAAATCCGTTCAGTGAACCCCAATGCAAGCAAGGAGGAGGACGCTTTGTTTTTTAACAAAGCCAAATGCAATACGTAATATTAGAATATAATAAACTAATCTAATCAAAAAATGGGGGGATTTTAACCCCCCTCACGGAAATTTAAGATCCTTGATCATTGAAAATTCGTTGCCATAGAAAACCACCCAAACCCCGACCAACCGCCCCTAAAGGATCTTTTTGACTAGTTAAATTTTGTGAGGTCTGTGATAGCACTTTACATAGAAGCGCCATCTATCGGATGGTAGCCCAACTGAACGAATTTTTTTGGTTGCGGCTACTATCCAACAGATGGCGCTGCATATCGGTAGCTACCACAAGGTCCACCATTTTGAATGACTACCTTGAGCTGTTGAAATCCGTTCAGTGAACCCCAATGCAAGCAAGGAGGAGGACGCTTTGTTTTTTAACAAAGCCAAATGCAATACGTAATATTAGAATATAATAAACTAATCTAATCAAAAAATGGGGGGATTTTAACCCCCCTCACGGAAATTTAAGATCCTTGATCATTGAAAATTCGTTGCCATAGAAAACCACCCAAACCCCGACCAACCGCCCCTAAAGGATCTTTTTGACTAGTTAAATTTTGTGAGGTCTGTGATAGCACTTTACATAGAAGCGCCATCTATCGGATGGTAGCCCAACTAAACGAATTTTTTTGGTGGCGGCTACTATCCAACAGATGGCGCTGCATATCGGTAGCTACCACAAGGTCCACCATTTTGAATGACTAGCTTGAGCTGTTGAAATCCGTTCAGTGAACCCCAATGCAAGCAAGGAGGAGGACGCTTTGTTTTTCAACAAAGTGAAATCCAATACGTAATATTAGAATATAATAAAATAATCTAATCAAAAAATGGGGGGATTCTAACTCCCCTCACGGAAATTTAAGATCCTTGATCATTGAAGATTCGTTGCCATAGACCCATCCCGAACCCCGACCAACCGCCCCTAAAGGATCTTTTTGACTAGTTAAATTTTGTGAGGTCTGTGATAGCACTTTACATAGAAGCGCCATCTATCGGATGGTAGCCCAACTAAACGAATTTTTTTGGTGGCGGCTACTATCCAATAGATGGCGCTGCATATCGGTAGCTACCACAAGGTCCACCATTTTGAATGACTACCTTGAGCTGTTGAAATCCGTTCAGTGAACCCCAATGCAAGCAAGGAGGAGGACGCTTTGTTTTTCAACACAGCCAAATCCAACACGTAATATTAGAATATAATAAACTAATCTAATCAAAAAATGGGGGGATTTTAACCCCCCTCACGGAAATTTAAGATCCTTGATCATTGAAGATTCGTTGCCATAGAAAGCCACCCAAACCCCGACCAACCGCCCCTAAAGGATCTTTTTGACTAGTTAAATTTTGTGAGGTCTGTGATAGCACTTTACATAGAAGCGCCATCTATCGGATGGTAGCCCAACTAAACGAATTTTTTTGGTGGCGGCTACTATCCAATAGATGGCGCTGCATATCGGTAGCTACCACAAGGTCCACCATTTTGAATGACTAGCTTGAGCTGTTGAAATCCGTTCAGTGAACCCCAATGCAAGCAAGGAGGAGGACGCTTTGTTTTTCAACAAAGCCAAATCCAATACGTAATATTAGAATATAATAAACTAATCTAATCAAAAAATGGGGGGATTTTAACCCCCCTCACGGAAATTTAAGATCCTTGATCATTGAAGATTCGTTGCCATAGAAAGCCACCCAAACCCCGACCAACCGCCCCTAAAGGATCTTTTTGACTAGTTAAATTTTGTGAGGTCTGTGATAGCACTTTACATAGAAGCGCCATCTATCGGATGATAGCTGAACTGAACGAATTTTTTTGGTGGCGGCTACTATCCAACAGATGGCGCTGCATATCGGTAGCTACCACAAGGTCCACCATTTTGAATGACTAGCTTGAGCTGTTGAAATCCGTTCAGTGAACCCCAATGCAAGCAAGGAGGAGGACGCTTTGTTTTTCAACAAAGTGAAATCCAATACGTAATATTAGAATATAATAAAATAATCTAATCAAAAAATGGGGGGATTCTAACTCCCCTCACGGAAATTTAAGATCCTTGATCATTGAAGATTCGTTGCCATAGACCCATCCCGAACCCCGACCAACCGCCCCTAAAGGATCTTTTTGACTAGTTAAATTTTGTGAGGTCTGTGATAGTACTTTACATAGAAGCGCCATCTATCGGATGGTAGCCCAACTAAACGAATTTTTTTGGTGGCGGCTACTATCCAACAGATGGCGCTGCATATCGGTAGCTACCACAAGGTCCACCGTTTTGAATGACTACCTTGGGCTGGTGAAATCCGTTCAGTAATCCACAATGCAAGCAAGGAGGAGGACGCTTTGTTTTTCAACAAAGCCAAATCCAATACGTAATATTAGAATATAATAAACTAATCCAATCAAAATAATCTTTTCATCAAAAAATGGGGGGATTTTAACCCCCCTCACGGAAATTTAAGATTCTTGATCATTGAAGATTCGTTGCCATAGAACGCCACCCAAACCCCGACCAACCGCCCCTAAAGGATCTTTTTGACTAGTTAAATTTTGTGAGGTCTGTGATAGCACTTTACAAAGAAGCGCCATCTATCGGATGGTAGCCCAACTGAACGAATTTTTTTGGTGGCGGCTACTATCCAATAGATGGCGCTGCATATCGGTAGCTACCACAAGGTCCACCATTTTGAATGACTACCTTGAGCTGTTGAAATCCGTTCAGTGAACCCCAATGCAAGCAAGGAGGAGGACGCTTTGTTTTTTAACAAAGCCAAATGCAATACGTAATATTAGAATATAATAAACTAATCTAATCAAAAAATGGGGGGATTTTAACCCCCCTCACGGAAATTTAAGATCCTTGATCATTGAAAATTCGTTGCCATAGAAAACCACCCAAACCCCGACCAACCGCCCCTAAAGGATCTTTTTGACTAGTTAAATTTTGTGAGGTCTGTGATAGCACTTTACATAGAAGCGCCATCTATCGGATGGTAGCCCAACTAAACGAATTTTTTTGGTGGCGGCTACTATCCAACAGATGGCGCTGCATATCGGTAGCTACCACAAGGTCCACCATTTTGAATGACTAGCTTGAGCTGTTGAAATCCGTTCAGTGAACCCCAATGCAAGCAAGGAGGAGGACGCTTTGTTTTTCAACAAAGCCAAATCCAATACGTAATATTAGAATATAATAAACTAATCTAATCAAAAAATGGGGGGATTTTAACCCCCCTCACGGAAATTTAAGATCCTTGATCATTGAAGATTCGTTGCCATAGAAAGCCACCCAAACCCCGACCAACCGCCCCTAAAGGATCTTTTTGACTAGTTAAATTTTGTGAGGTCTGTGATAGCACTTTACATAGAAGCGCCATCTATCGGATGGTAGCCCAACTAAACGAATTTTTTTGGTGGCGGCTACTATCCAACAGATGGCGCTGCATATCGGTAGCTACCACAAGGTCCACCGTTTTGAATGACTACCTTGAGCTGCTGAAATCCGTTCAGTAATCCCCAGTGCAAGCAAGGAGGAGGACGCTTTGTTTTTCAACAAAGCCAAATCAATACGTAATATTAGATAAACTAATCCAAACAAAATAATCTTTTCACCAAAAAATGGGGGGATTCTTAACCCCTCACGGAAATTTAAGTTTCTTGATCTCTGAAGACGCGTTGCCATAGACCCGTCCCGAACCCCGACCAACCACCCCTAAAGGATCTTTTTGACTAGTTAAATAAATAATAAGCCAGTATAGTAATAACTTTATTGGGGAGTATAAACTAAATACATTTACATGTGTTTCAACCGATTCACTCTGCTACTTTTATTGCACTGTATCAGTACTTTCCAAAGAGGCCCCTCTTCTAAAAATGACAGTTGAAAACTTTCCAGATGGCGGCTAGTGCATCCATTACAAAAAATAACAAGGGGTCCTTTTTGAGAAGCACTGTATAATATGTACAACTACAGGGTGGATTTAAAAGTTCCTTTACGTGTACGAATTTACGCTCTAAAATGTCTTGCTATTGTAGTACACGTTTTTCGTAAAAGCACTATTTCATTGTCAGTAACCTTGGTTACTGTTAATAAAATTAAAATAAAATTTTGATTCATGTTCAATCACCCAAAATGGTGCATCTTTCCTGACCTTCTGACTAATGGAACAGTGCTTCACAAAATTATGAGTTTTATAGTGATAAAACAATGGAAATATTTCTAGAGCAGAAAGTGCACCGAAAAACAACATAGAACGTTCCTAAGTTCATACATGGTCTAAAACGTTCCATTAGCAAGATACTGGGCGTTGAGATGCCACTGATGAGATTGATAAAGGACGAAACATGAATACGTGAAGAAATAACACTGTGGTGAGGTGGAACTACTGCCCTAATGCACTAAATACTAGTGTTGTAACGAATATCGGCATTCGCGAAAAGTAAAGTAAAATCGGGTACAAAACAGCTACAAAGCTGGAGGAGTGTGAATGGTGGTTTTCCTGAATCCCATAAAAAATTGAGGAGGTAGCACCCAAACCACTAAACGTAAGGTAGGTACAATACACCATCCTAACCAACGCTTCAACCGGAAATGATCACCCATACGAATTTCAAAAAAAGTTCCGCAGCTGAACCTGCACATAGAACATCACTGGCTGCCTATGGGTAGATCAGCACCGTATTATTTGCCAAAATAATGTTGCGGGTAGAGGGGTCTACGAGGGACCAATGATAATTTGTGAGGAAATTTCTAAGATAGTCGTTAATAAAATAATATAGTATTATTAGGTATTTGAATATCCATATCCGTTTATTTTTTTGCATGTACAAGAAAACATTTTTTTTGATTTTTATCCGTTTTTTCATTAAAAATGAAAATACAAAATAGAAACAAAAATGCATTTCTTAAATGTGGAAAAAATGTTTCTTTTTCAAACTAGATGCTTATTTGCTTGTTTTCTTATTTTTTAAATAACAATTTAGCAATCAAGCTGAACTAGAAGAATCAAACTTCGAAAGTGAAAGCTTCACAGTTTACTCTCCTTCATGTATGTTTTGATTTGATGTGGCGTATACAGTACAAAAATTGAATTTTCACATTTGTATTCGCGAATATTGATAGCAGATTTTCTCGTTCGCGATTTGCGAATGCCTGGAAATTGACATTCGTTACATAACCTAGTAAATACATTTTTTAATAATGTTAAACTTCACCAATATAGATTATGTGTCAATAATCCAAATCTATTTTTCTCCAAAAGCAGAGAGAGAATTTCTGTAAAATTGAATACCTTGTCTAAAAATGCAATGTTTTACAAAAAAGAGTAGCGTAGAAGATATTTGACCTTTTCTTTCCGTAGGACTCAAAATATTCCACGATTTTAGAATAATTTCAGTGCCCTGTATCTCAGTAAGGCAGCATTTCAGGACCCATATCTATTTGAATTATTCATTATATTTTTGGACTTACTTTATGCCCTATAAATATTGTCACCTTTTTTCGAACTGCCCTATCTAATTTCTCAATAAATATTCAATTGTGAAACAAAAGAAAAATCGAGAATGTGGGTATGCTTCAGTAATTGGTTGTTCATCTGAAGGCTACCACTGCGGCTGAATAAGTAAAACCAATCGTCATTCTACAGTGATAAAGCACCTGCTTGAATAAAAGCTAACATTTCGGCTGCCTTAAATGAATGTGATTCACATGTTCTATTATGTAAATTTCAAATAGATCAGAAGGGTTCGAAATAATTGGAAGCTCATATGTCATGTTTTCGACATCGCTTGTGCGAACTCATTTGCTCTGATTAAGCATGCATACGGAACCCAACCACGTTTATTTTATCTCTGCAAACGAAAGAAATATAACGATATTTATGTGCATTTTCAGGGAATTCATCATAAAAACGATAAATAATTGTATCTCAATAGCCGGAGCACGTACGCAAAAAGTATCTGCTCTTGTATCAAACACCTTGTATACTCGTATATTGTTTTTGTAATGCAACTGGCAGCCGAAACGTTATAAATGTTCAGTTTTAACGACTGTGGTTCCAATTATCGACAGGGGCCCTTGAAATTATTTACAAGGTTATTATAAATTATATGGCGCTCATCTTCCACATTTTCGAGGATATACATAGTTTCTTATGTTGGATACTTAGTACATCTTATTTCTCACAGCACTAATTCCATTAGGTATTTTATTCGATGTTATACATATATTACGTTCTACAAATAAAAAGTTTATGGCACAGAAAAAGCTTGTTGAGAAGAATAGAAATCAAGTATAATCGTTCTTTCATTCCATAATGATTCTGTTTTAATTTAAATAAATAGAAATCAGGCAGACCTCTCCCGGTTCTGCTTCAAAAAGTCTAACACCTAATTAGAAATATCCGTCTATAAAAATCAATCATACAGGGTGTAATTTAGTTGATGGCTACAAATACAGGATATGACTGATTTTAGGAAGGAAAGTTTATATGAATATATCTCTTTTTGAGCTACAGGGTGTTAAAATTTTAAGAAAAATTTCGTTTTTTATAACTTTAATACTGTTCTAGATATTTTCATGAAATTTGACTAAACATCAATAATGTATAATATTTTTTAATATTTCTACCAGGGGCGTCCGTCTCGTTTATTTCGCAATGAATTCAATAAATGTGACCTCTCGCCTTTTTTCCGTTCGCTGCACCGTTTTATTACGTAACTTAAAAGTGACATTTCGTCGTTTTTTAACATTTCCAGGTTTTTTTTACTTTTCGTAGGTTTATCTGCAAGATGTTAACTCAGCATAAGCTGTTGTACACTTGTTGTACGTGTTGCTTAAACGTCAGCGAACAGCCGATTAATACAAGCAAAAGTGTCTAAAATCTCATGTGGTAGGCAAGATGTGTTTTTGTTTAATTTTTATTCAAGTCAATTGATTAAAATAGCCAAAATTTTTGACGGTGCATCGGATGGAAAAAAGTCAATAGGTCAAATTCATTGCAAAATAAATGAGGATTTTAAAAATTATTTTCGGAAAAAGCAATGGCGTACCATATTTGTTTAAAATCTCCAGTATACATCCCGTACGGACGCCACTGGTAGAGATACTAAATATATTCTACATCAAAAAATGCCTATTGGTGCTTAGTAGGCGGATGTCAAATTTCAAGAAAATATCTAGGAGTATTAAAGATATCAGAAAACGAATTTTTTGATTAAATTTTAAAATCCTGTAGCTCAAAAGTTGAGGTTTGGGACATATGTTCAAATAAAATTTTATTACTAAAATGAGTCATCAATTAAATTACACCCCGTATAGATACATATATGGGCGTAAAAGTAACCTGACAAATAGTCTGCTTACGTTTTATACTTTGTTAAGCAATAGATACATAGAGCTATGATAAGAAATAATTTAATAGCTTCACATAAATAATCTCATTTAAGAAAACATCCTTATTGTCGCGATTTTTACACAGTTGGCTTGGAATTAACATAGTATATCATAACATATTAGATAAAATCTATAGTCAATCCTAACTACACAAGTAAAATTTTTCAAATACGTAGTATTTCAGTCACTGTTTCAGCTTGAGGTAGTCGCTAGTGGCAGTACTGTTAATAAATGCTTATTTTTTAACGTACGATTATACGTCACGATTTTTTTAATTTTTTAGGTTTCTAGGCCTGGCCCCATAACACTATCTACTTTAATAATCCCGTGATCCAAAAGCAGTTTAGACATTTTATCAACAGAGTAAGACATTCAATTAGGTTTGCCTAACCCCAATGCATTTTAAATTTGAATTCGAAAATATGTCTTTTGGGCATATTTTTGTCTAGCTTCCGAAGAAATATCTTTTGGCAATGGTAGACTGGTTGTTCTATCTTAGAAATATTGATATTTTTTTCTGGAACACCCTGTATATGTATTTGAACCTTGGGATTATTGTGGCAGATGAGGTGTTATGTGGAACTTGAGCTTAATAGTTTGTTTCAGTCCTTAGCTATACGGTCAATAAATATGACATCCCATCATAAATACTGACTTAATCCTGCTTCTGTGACATTCGCCTAACTCTGCTTGAAATATCCTGTTGACGACTTTAAAATTAATGTTTCAACTATATTTACAAATGATATCGCTTTATACTTTATAGAAATGTTTCGGCATTCTTCGAAGACTTCATTCATTTCTCTAAAGCAGCTAGGCCAGTGTCTATTGAATAATATCCAACAACATCCATTTTAACTATGCTAAATTCAGGATGTATTCGATATAAGTAAAAAATTATATGAAATAACTGAAGTATTTTCTGGATGTCTCGAATCAGTGCATCCTTATCTTTTTTGTTTCATAATCGTGTTTGTTATGCGGCGTGAAAATTCATTTGATAACATGTCAAATACGTGGTATATGTGCATATACAGGGTGTTTCAAGTTCGACCTTCGCCAATGGGATCTCGGAAACGGTAAGAGATGCGAAGTCGCTTAAATGGGGGCAAGGTTGCGCATTTAGGCAATTAACAAAATGCCGCTTAGAAAGTTTCGAAATTCAAAGTACTGGGGACAGACGGAAAAAAAATCAGTTTTCCCAAAATCGTTTTAATTATTTCATAACTTTATTTGTTGTGGGCTTTTGAAATAAATTGCACATTAACATTGCTACTTTTTCTCCTCTACAAGATGGCCAGCATCAACTTTATTTTTTCTTATGGACGCCATATTGGATTTTTGCACATACGAATAGAGTTTTTAATTCTGATTCCAATTTATTTTGGAACCCCATCTCAAATGAAGTTAGGAAAAAATAATGGTGATTTTGGGATAAATCTTGAGTGCAAAACATATTGTTATCTGGTAATTTCAAGGCCTACCTAGGAAATTCTGTTTTTTTGAAATAATTAAGGTTTGACATGTCAATATGTGACATATTCTACATTTCTGGAATCAGATTTGAAAACTCTATTCATCTGTGCAATAGTCTAATAGGGTGTCCATAAGAAAAAATAAAGCTGATGCTGAAGGAACAGAGACGAAACGTCATATTGAAATTCTAATAATTAAGCCGAAAAATTTGCAATGATTTGAATGAATTTATTTTGAAATCCCACTACAAATAAAGTTTCCAGGATCCCAATGGCGAGCGTCGAATTTGAAGCACCCTGTATATTTTATATTTATAGTAATAAAATGACAGAATTAATTACGGACGGATATATAATTGTTGA